GGCTGCAAGTCTGGGAGCCTGAAAAATCCTGGTTGAGCAGCACAATGTAGATGTTCCTCTCATAGATGTTCCTTCCACTCATTCCTCTTCCAGGTGTAGAGCAGCAGTTGGTGCCTTTTCACTGGATGGGTCACTAGACCTGAGGCCATCCCAGGTGACTGCCTGTGACATGCAGATTTTCAGGGGATTTCAGACAGGTGGAGGTGTGATGTCCTTTGTCCTTCTCAACCTTTGGAAGTCAGGGACACAACCACGCTGTGTGCAGTTAGAGCTCTGTCTTCCCTGGGCTGCTGTGGGTGTCATTGCAACAGATGTGGGATGGCTGTGCCACAGCACATTTGAATGATCCATATGCAATCTTAGCCAGAAAAAGGGAATTTCTCAGTTGCTGCTGTGCTTGTTATTTTGCAGTGTGTTCATTGGTCCTCTGGCCATCCACGGTGGAGAGGGGAGAGCAAGGCTGTGTGCTGCCTGGGCTGAGCTGAGCTGAGTGCACCTAGGAAAGCATAAAACCAATGTAGTTCACTTAAAATCAATGCTGGCTCTTTCTCTTGTGGCCAGGAGGGAGGTGGGTCTGTGTGGTTCTATGTTTCTCTGCCTATGGGGGCTTGTAGGCTTTGTGTGAGCAGAGGAACATCCCACGGGAGAGGGATGTCACACTTAGAGGGGCTTGGTTTTGAGCCCAGTGATGTCTGCATGTGTGGCCTCTTCCAGATGTGCTTGTGAGCTGGGGTCTGGCCCTTGCAGCTGGAGGGAGGCAGATTCTGGGCTAGGAGAGCTCTGAGGTTGAACTGTATTAAGATTGTAAATTAATTGTGCTAGTTGAGGGGGATTTCTGCCCTAGCAACCAAGCTAACCCACAAACCAAACTCACCTGCAGCCCAGTTGGCCTCAAACTTCTGGCCCCAGCATCAAAGTAGTGATTGGATTGATGCATGGAAATGTCAAACTGGGAAAACAGGTCTGCTGGGAGGGCATCAAGCATGCAAGAGAGAAAAAAAGGTGTCTTGTTTTTTCCCCCAGGAGTGCTCCCTGCTGGGCCGGGAGCTGGTGCCTGCCAGGAGGAGGTGGAGGTGGGGGGACAGCACGGGGCTTTCTGCCAGGGGAGGCAGGATGAAGGGGAGGAACTGAGCTCTGGCTCTTTGTTGCCAGCAGCAGAAGCCACCGAGGAGCAGCCAAGCCCAGGTGTGCTGGAAGTGCCGGTTTTCCCTGCGAGGTCCTGAGCTGTAAGTGTAGTTTGAAAGGAGGAAACAATTCCCAGACTCTTGCAAAAGGCTTCAGCAGCAGGGCTGCTCCCCTCCCCTGCCTGAAAATCCCATCAGAGGGGCTCAGATGACAGCCCAGCACGGGGGGCAGGAGGCAGCCAGAGACCCTGGTGCTGGGAGCAGCTCTGTCCCTGGTGCACAAGGCGGACGTGGCTGGGAGCCAAACCCTTATTGCTTGGCAGCACAAACAAAGCAGCTGCTGCTCAAATGGCCATGAATGAAACCTCCCTTCCTCTGCCTTGCTGAGCAAAGTCAGACTTTGTCCGACCTTCAGGAAGGTATGATAAAGGTGAAGCAGCTCCCTGCCTGCCAACAGGGATGGAGATGTTTCCTGCTGGCTCCCAGTCCCAGCCGTGTCCTGAGCTGGGACTTTCCCCTGGGCTGCAAACTCCCTCACCTGCCCGTGCTCGTGCATGCCAAGCTGGGAGCTGCCCACACTGCAGCTGCTGGATGGTTGGACTTGGTGATGTTAAAGGTCTTTTCCAACCAAAATGACTCCGTGACTTGAGGTTGCTGCCTGTGGTGCTCCAGGCTGGGTTTGCAGGGCAGGCTGTGGGCTCAGAGAGGTGGCACAACAAGGGTAAAGGGAGAAAGGCCCAGCCTTGGGGCTGACAGAAAACAGGAGGGAAATGAAGTCAGTTTATCTGCTTCAGCCACCAGCAGCAGGGCAGCTTGCTTCCTTCCAGTCTTGCCAGTTCTTGCCTATACTAGCAGCTAGGAAGGGTTGTGGCATTGATTTATTTAATGGATCACACCCAAACCATGCTCCTGTGGTGAGACAGTTGGTTGTACCTTCATGCCTGTTTCCTCTGACCATGCTGATTCCTGTCTCCTACCTCCCCCCTTAGCAGAGCTTTTCCTTCCCAACCACAGCCCCCACCCTCACCTGCAGCAGGGACCAGAAGTGGCAGCACTTTGTTCTTGTTGGCAGGAAACCCAACTCCATGAAGGCTGACCAGGTAAGGGCAGAGAAGAGCTTAATCTTTGGAGTTTTAAACAGATTAGTGTGTCCTTCAAAGCTAGAAAGTATGAGACCTGAGCTTTTTCCATGTAGCAAAGACAGAGGAAGATCTGAGCCCTGGATGGAGATTTGGGCTCAAGCAGGAAATGCTCTTCACTCTTTTGCTAAACATTATCTCAAGTGTGGGCTAGAAAAACCTGCAGCTGGAGCACACAGATCAGGCAAGGGACATGATGGATTTTATTCAGATTTATTGAAGCAGCTCCAGGCTGAGTAATAAAACTACACAACTGCTGTATTAAAAAAAAAAAAAAAAGGTACAAAACCAGCCCATGGGGAAAGAACCGTCACGTGGAAAGACATTTCAGGCAAGTGCCTCTGGTGCTGCCTGCATTCCAAGTCCCAGCAGACAGCAGCAGTCCAGAACCTGCTACCAGTTACTTGGGAAGTTCCTCTGCCCTTCCTAGTAAACACCATTTAAAATACTCAGTGAACAAGTTTAAAAAACCCAACGTTGCTCTGGTTCCTGCTCTGAGATCACGTGAGTTAGGAGAAAACTGGGGAAACTTGTGCTGTCTGAAGGGACAGCACAAGCAGCCAGCCCAAGGAGGTCCCTCTGTGTGTGTCCCCTCCATGGTCTGAATGACAGGAATTTACAGAAGGGTTCAGAGCCAAAGCTGTGGTGATGATGCCAGTGGGATCCACACAAGGGCTGGTGTCCAGGACATGTCGCAGACTTGCTGGTAGGACAAGGTGCTCCCACTGCCTGTGTCTTGTGTCTGGATCCTCAGTGAAGCAAGACACTGGCAAAATCTGGTGTGAAACCTGTAGTGCAGGAGAAAGTGTTGTGAGCAGCAAATCCAAGAGCACTCCCAGGCCTCCAGACCTCAAACCCTGCCTTCCTGGAGCTGCTCGTTGCCCTCTACACCCAGGAATCTTCTAAAGGAGTCACAGGACATTTAACGATCTTAAACAAGTTCATTTGGGGTAGCAGACCTGTTCCAAGGGGAAAAGAAAAAGGAACCTGCAGGGATCTGTGATTCTCTGCATCTTTTTTGCCAAGAGCCTTTAGAAAGGTTTAACTCCAGTTGCCATTTTTTTAAAAAACCTGAATCACTGTGTGGCAGGAAAGCAATGGCATGAAAGGGACACCAGAGAATAATTAGAAGTGGAGAAACCCTGTGTTTATATGTAGACAGGGCTTGTCTTATAAATGCAATTACCAACCATTCTGGGACTAAATCCCAGCTTTAATCTTGTTCTGGCACCAGCTCCTGGCCCTCATGTCCCACAAGACATTTGGGTGCCACTAACAGATTAACCATGGCACCAGGAGGAGGAGGCTGAGCTAAAATCAGCAGCCAGTCCCCCCCTGGCACCGCCGGGTCTATCCCAGCTCCTGTCTGTACCAGGGACACCCAATCCTCCCCTCAGACAGCATTCCCCAAACTCTTTGCATAGGCCAAGACTGGCTGGGATGCCAGGTTAAGTGTCTTGTTATTTATACTAATCTCCTCACAACATTTCAGCACCTAAAGAGACTTTCTCTCTCCTGCAGGGTTTTAGATCCCAAACCAGCAGCCTGGCAGCACGTTTCTGGAGCTGGTGTTGGCACAAGGCTGTCCTCTAGGACAACTCCAGTCTGGATCCACCTGCATCCACCCCATAGGCTTTAAGCCTTGTGCAGTGCAAAGGTATTTAGGGGAGCTCTGGGTTGAGTCCAGAAAAGGGCCACAAAAAATTATCTGAGGGCTGGAGCAGCTCTGCTCTGGAGACAGGCTGGGAGAGTTGGGGTGTTCAGCCTGGAGAAGAGAAGGCTCCAGGGAGACCTTAGAGCAGCTTCCAGTGCCTGAAGGGGCTCCAGGAAAGCTGGGGAGGGACTTGGGACAAGGGCAGGGAGGGAGAGGACAAGGGGGGATGGATTAAAACTGGGAGAGGAGAATGAGGTTGGACATGAGGAGGGAATCCTGGGCTGTGAGGGTGGTGAGAGCCTGGCCCAGGTTGCCCAGAGAGGTGCTGGAGGCCCCATCCCTGGAGACATCCAAGCTCAGGCTTGACCAGGCTCTGAGCAACCTGATCTAGGTCAAAAACGTCCCTGTGCACTGCAGGGGGGGGTCTGGACTAGATGACCTTTCAAGGTCCCTTCCAACCCCACATCTTCTATGATTTTATGCTCGTTTACCTTCCAGGTTCCTCGGCAGAGGGTGACTCAGGCCGACAGGTACTTCCAGGTGCTGACGAAGGCAGTGGGGATGAGGGAATAGGGCACCGTGGTGACGCTGCGCCAGGTGTCGGACGAGGGGTCGTAACAGTCCAGGGTCTTGCAGCGCTGGGCGCCGCAGTAGCCCCCGACCACGTACAGCCTGTTGCCCGACGTCACGGCGCGGCAGCTGATGCGCTTGGCGGTGACGTCCCCGAACTTGGACCACTGGGACGTGTCGCTGTGGAAGCGGTAAGCGGAGCTGGCAGAGAACTCCGTGTCCCCCCCGATGACGATGATGTGGCTGCCCAAAAAAAAAAAAGGTACAAAACCAGCCCATGGGGAAAGAACCGTCACGTGGAAAGACATTTCAGGCAAGTGCCTCTGGTGCTGCCTGCATTCCAAGTCCCAGCAGACAGCAGCAGTCCAGAACCTGCTACCAGTTACTTGGGAAGTTCCTCTGCCCTTCCTAGTAAACACCATTTAAAATACTCAGTGAACAAGTTTAAAAAACCCAACGTTGCTCTGGTTCCTGCTCTGAGATCACGTGAGTTAGGAGAAAACTGGGGAAACTTGTGCTGTCTGAAGGGACAGCACAAGCAGCCAGCCCAAGGAGGTCCCTCTGTGTGTGTCCCCTCCATGGTCTGAATGACAGGAATTTACAGAAGGGTTCAGAGCCAAAGCTGTGGTGATGATGCCAGTGGGATCCACACAAGGGCTGGTGTCCAGGACATGTCGCAGACTTGCTGGTAGGACAAGGTGCTCCCACTGCCTGTGTCTTGTGTCTGGATCCTCAGTGAAGCAAGACACTGGCAAAATCTGGTGTGAAACCTGTAGTGCAGGAGAAAGTGTTGTGAGCAGCAAATCCAAGAGCACTCCCAGGCCTCCAGACCTCAAACCCTGCCTTCCTGGAGCTGCTCGTTGCCCTCTACACCCAGGAATCTTCTAAAGGAGTCACAGGACATTTAACGATCTTAAACAAGTTCATTTGGGGTAGCAGACCTGTTCCAAGGGGAAAAGAAAAAGGAACCTGCAGGGATCTGTGATTCTCTGCATCTTTTTTGCCAAGAGCCTTTAGAAAGGTTTAACTCCAGTTGCCATTTTTTTAAAAAACCTGAATCACTGTGTGGCAGGAAAGCAATGGCATGAAAGGGACACCAGAGAATAATTAGAAGTGGAGAAACCCTGTGTTTATATGTAGACAGGGCTTGTCTTATAAATGCAATTACCAACCATTCTGGGACTAAATCCCAGCTTTAATCTTGTTCTGGCACCAGCTCCTGGCCCTCATGTCCCACAAGACATTTGGGTGCCACTAACAGATTAACCATGGCACCAGGAGGAGGAGGCTGAGCTAAAATCAGCAGCCAGTCCCCCCCTGGCACCGCCGGGTCTATCCCAGCTCCTGTCTGTACCAGGGACACCCAATCCTCCCCTCAGACAGCATTCCCCAAACTCTTTGCATAGGCCAAGACTGGCTGGGATGCCAGGTTAAGTGTCTTGTTATTTATACTAATCTCCTCACAACATTTCAGCACCTAAAGAGACTTTCTCTCTCCTGCAGGGTTTTAGATCCCAAACCAGCAGCCTGGCAGCACGTTTCTGGAGCTGGTGTTGGCACAAGGCTGTCCTCTAGGACAACTCCAGTCTGGATCCACCTGCATCCACCCCATAGGCTTTAAGACTTGTGCAGTGCAAAGGTATTTAGGGGAGCTCTGGGTTGAGTCCAGAAAAGGGCCACAAAAAATTATCTGAGGGCTGGAGCAGCTCTGCTCTGGAGACAGGCTGGGAGAGTTGGGGTGTTCAGCCTGGAGAAGAGAAGGCTCCAGGGAGACCTTAGAGCAGCTTCCAGTGCCTGAAGGGGCTCCAGGAAAGCTGGGGAGGGACTTGGGACAAGGGCAGGGAGGGAGAGGACAAGGGGGGATGGATTAAAACTGGGAGAGGAGAATGAGGTTGGACATGAGGAGGGAATCCTGGGCTGTGAGGGTGGTGAGAGCCTGGCCCAGGTTGCCCAGAGAGGTGCTGGAGGCCCCATCCCTGGAGACATCCAAGCTCAGGCTTGACCGGGCTCTGAGCAACCTGATCTAGGTCAAAAACGTCCCTGTGCACTGCAGGGGGGGGTCTGGACTAGATGACCTTTCAAGGTCCCTTCCAACCCCACATCTTCTATGATTTTATGCTCGTTTACCTTCCAGGTTCCTCGGCAGAGGGTGACTCAGGCCGACAGGTACTTCCAGGTGCTGACGAAGGCAGTGGGGATGAGGGAATAGGGCACCGTGGTGACGCTGCGCCAGGTGTCGGACGAGGGGTCGTAACAGTCCAGGGTCTTGCAGCGCTGGGCGCCGCAGTAGCCCCCGACCACGTACGGTTCCTCGGCAGAGGGTGACTCAGGCCGACAGGTACTTCCAGGTGCTGACGAAGGCAGTGGGGATGAGGGAATAGGGCACCGTGGTGACGCTGCGCCAGGTGTCGGACGAGGGGTCGTAACAGTCCAGGGTCTTGCAGCGCTGGGCGCCGCAGTAGCCCCCGACCACGTACAGCCTGTTGCCCGACGTCACGGCGCGGCAGCTGATGCGCTTGGCGGTGACGTCCCCGAACTTGGACCACTGGGACGTGTCGCTGTGGAAGCGGTAAGCGGAGCTGGCAGAGAACTCCGTGTCCCCCCCGATGACGATGATGTGGCTGGCCCCCCCGGCGGGCGGC